ATAATTAGTTTTTTTACCCTTCTAGTAGTTTTTACCCCCTAGTTGACCCCCAAGACTTAGGTTCACCGGTGTCTAGGGAATCAATGGCGACTGTGTTAACATCTGTAACCGTTTGTCATTGACAGTAAAATATTACTAAATTATTAGAATTTTTCACTGTACTGAAATACTGTTATAAATTTCAATGTACTGAAATATTAGAGTATTAGTATTTTTGAAATGTACTTAAATACTAATAAAGTATTATAGATTTGTATATCGAAATATTACTAAATGATTATATTTTTCAATATAATGGATTACTAAAATATTATATTTTTCAATGTACTGAAAAAATTAAAACAGAAAATGATACAGTGAAAGTGCTACAGTAGTCTGTTGAATACTGTGTAGTGTTTCCGAAGCAATAGTACTTGATTCAGAATTTCAATGTTTATGGTGCGGATAGGTACGATAAATCTGTAGGTCGGAATATTCGTTAGTTGGAGAGTGTGATATATCTGATTTCCACTCATTATTCAATAATGCGGTGGCAAATTAGGGTTGCAATGTAGTAGACCCCACAGTAAACTCTTTATGTAAATAAAATGTAAACCCTACCTAATGCATCCTATGTAAGCTCTGGATTTGTAAAATTTCCATTATTCTAACAGAAAATCCTTTAGATCAAAGACCCCGGAATTTTTCCAATAATCTTATGGTCAATTGGCTAGCGCTCTGGCCTTTGGTATTGCAGGCTTCAGGTTCGAATCCTGGCTGTGACATGGATGTTTGTTAGTGATTCAGAAACCACATTAAACTGTAAGTCCCGGTCTAATTAACCTAAAGTCTGCACAAAATAAACGAAGAGCGACAAAGAAAACCAATAACAGGGTTAGAAATTGAAATACTGCTTTAATTGAAAAATACAATTTTTATATACCACATTAAAAATACGAAATATGTAATATTCCTTGTAAAATATAAGCAATAAGGCACATTTCTCTGTTCTTACATTTTAATTACTTTAAAAACAATTCAAGTTATGCGCCAAACTGCGTTCAGCTTTGACACTAAAACTAATTACCACAAACCGAGTCTCATAATTTCATAACTCAAATCCTCCCAACTTGATACCGAATTCCGTTTACCAGTCTACTCGGCAGCCGTTCTAATGCGGCGAAGATTTCAATGACAAAGCGATCTGTTTAAGACTTAAGTCCTCTACTAATTTAAGCTGTCTTCGAAGATAACAATTACACCGGACTTGGAAGTTTAAATATTCAAAGCCTGCCGGCGGCACTCCTCACAATCTCTTTTAGAGGATGACGCCATTTATTCGACAGCACAAACCAGGAAGTGAGTCTCTGGTGGAAGAGAGTTCCAAAATTCGATTAGTGACCAAAGGAGAAAACGAGAGAAGAATATCGGGAAAACGCTGGCTAACAGGAAGGCATCATGCTAATCCCCTGGTGGAAAGGGTGTATCCATATTGATGGGCACTTTATTTTCCGGGGTCATCTTTCTCCTTGAAATAGAAGACCAGAGATTATTTTCGGGAAAACGGGAGTATTTTTACTCGAGTTATGGTTCACCTGACTGATGCGATTAGAAAATGGGGAAGAAAAGTCAAACAAAATAAATCTACAGGAAGTTTTTTATTAGGCACAAAGTGAAAGTGGAAAGATCGTAAAAAAAGGTGTTGACCTTAGAAGTATAAATTGTGATGAGTGATTTTAATAGGTTGTGATAGATAGTAATTTATATGGTTTAAAATAAATCTATAAAAAATATTATAACAATATATAATTGATTTTTTTTATCCTTCTAGTAGCCTTCAAAGAAAACTTTTATTGTCCGGTGTTTGGAGAATCAATGGCGATTGTGATAACGTCTATAAGCGTCTGGCACCAACAGCCAGATGCTTTGTAAGCATTTCTTGGTTTTCCTTCCATGCAACATTAAAATGTGCAACAGTTACCATAAAAAAAAGTCTTCCCTGAAAAAAAAAGTCTCCATAACCAGTCGGGGAAAGGGGGTATTAATGGTATACATATGAAACTCTAAGCCCATCAATTTACTATAAATAAGATTCATTTAATCAAAGGTATATCATACGTGTGTGCGTTTATTTTAATATATATTAATATATATATGCACATATATATATATATATATATATATATATATATATATATGTATATATAACAGAAAGAATTAAGAACGCAAATCAAAAAAGAAAAAAGACCGGATGTAGGGAGCCAAAGCAGGAAAAAGATTTTCGGAAATCAGCAAAAACAATAAGAAAATAATTATAGTATCCTGTAATAAGTATAAGTACCCTTAGGACAGTAAAAACCGTGTTATGTATTTTTGCTAGAGGACTAATTTCAAATCAAAACGAATCAAGTGACACAAATATTATGAATATTTCTTTTGCTGACGCATATGTTATTGTGGTTTTATATTCCTTAGTAATTGTAAAAAGTCCCTGTCCATTCCATTTTTTTTTTATATATATATATATATATATGTGTGTGCGGATAAAAAACACAATACACACAAAAACCAAAGGAGAACTGACAAGGAATGGATAGGAAACACTACCATTTTCCAAAACAAAAATCCGCAACAGCATTCAGTATTCGCTATACGTAAATTGTACTACAAAACCAGGAACAATACAAAAATCCTAAAGTGCTTCGCTTCACATGCAGGTCTCTCAAAAAAGATGTATATATATATCCAATTTTATCCAAAGCAATTGCGGAACATTATTTATACTTATATTTATATAAATAAAGACATGCATGCAGATGGTGGCTAGAGAGCTTGAGTTTCCCCTACCTCCAAGGCACCATACGTGAAATGAGTGCACACGTGTTCAAACTTATGTCCCCCCTCCCACATGGCCCAAATTGTTTTTCGTTAAATATTTAGCGTTTCCATGAATAAGTGTTTTTCTTATCAGAGTCAATTTTATTACTGCGCCTGAATTTATTGAATGAGTCGGCGTCTTTCCCGCTAGGCTTTATTAAATATTCATCGATATCTTGAAGTTGATATAAATGATATTAACGATGTACTGGTAAAAATGAATGGAATATTAAATTTTAATTTTTTTATGAAGTTTTTTTTTTTTTAGAAATTATATTTTATTATTTTGTTTGTGCAAATATTTCTGAATTTTAATATTCACTTTTTAATGTATTTGAACCAAATTGGTGCAATGTAAATATTGTTAATAAAATAATTTATATTTATCAATAATTCGACTTCAATTGTCTTTTTATCGCTTATAGTTTGATACAGGGAGGGCCAACCCAAATGATCTTGTGGGCGGGCCACTTTGGAAATGCATCCTAACTCCGCGGGCCGCATTTAAAATTATATATCCCCATATTAGATTTAGACCCATTATAGACATTTTTGGAGTGAAACATTGAAACACAATGAGTAATTATTATTGTGTTTTCTATCATTCTTGCATGTAAACATATATAGTATAATAATAATGATACTAAACGCACATTGCAAAGAAATATATAACACTAAAAATGAATTATAAAAAAATATATAAATATAAACAAAATAAAAAAGATGAAATCATTAAAAAATACTTATTTTACTAGTTCGATATTTCTTTCTGCGTTCTTTCGCTCAGCTTTTGCAAATCGATCTCAATTTAGGTATTTGCGCATCGCAATTCGTGTTACAGGTTAGCGTAAATTATGTTTGAGCGTGTTTTGTGTTTGATCAATTTCATTTTAGAAAAAAACGATTCATAGTTATAAGTTGAACCAAAAGCGCTAACAACTGGAAACTGAGAGTCTGGTTTGCTCTGCTATCAACAATCAACTGCGCGTATCTAGGGATGGTCACTGAGGTGACTTAAAGGGAAGTGTATAGTAGATGTTCCAAGATACGCGCGCATCATGAGTTCGCAGAATATAATTTAATTATTCTGTGAACTCATAACTGTCAACTCATAAATAAAACAGGCAACTACTGTCATATGTTAGCCTGAATATTATTTTAAAATCAAGTCAATCAGTTAATTTTTTCTCACAATTTCGACAGTTGATTTTTGAATATATGGATTCACACATATAATCACTACTTTGGCCATTATAAAATAGATATATTTTGTAAAAATGTAATACATCTCACGGGCCGCAAAAATATTGAAGACGGGCCGCTGATTGACCACCCCTGGTTTAATATAACCTATAAGCAGGGTCGGATTTTCCTATAGACTAACTAGGCTACAGCCAAGGGCCTCAAGATCAAGAGGGGCCTACATTAAAATTGTTAGCAAAATTAGAATTACACTATTCTAAAAACAGTAAACATTAAACACTGAATCGAAAATAAGGAGAAATTCTACACATATGACTAATAAACTATCATGAAAAAGTTAATGCGAATTATTATGAAATAAATTTATTTGAATTTAATTTGCTTTAATATTTAACGTATTGAATATATTTAATTTAATTTGATAGAAAATATGATAATTTTTATTGCATATTTTATTTAAGTAGTTTTACTTACTTTTATTCACTTGCACTTAAAGATTTTTATTTAAATTTTGTTTCTTTGTAAAAGTTGTGTGTTATGTTTGATTAATTATTGCTATAAGTGCTATATATGGTGCTGAGAATAAATGTCCAAATAAGTGTTGTCGACTTTTTTTTTATTTATTATCCATGCCACATTTCTTATAAAGATAGTGTTTGTTTGTTGTTTCTTATCCCACTTGGCTGGCCAAGCCCACGAGCCCATATGGACTCATGATTGAAGGGGAAGGAAGCAGCTTCTGTTGTGATGGAGCACCCGTAGGTAGAAGCCTGACTTTTGCTCCGTGACGCTCTTACAGTCATAGAAGACCGTGACCTACGGCTTAAAGTGGATTCCGAACCACTACAAACATCCATGGCACCGCCGGGATTCGAACCCGAAACCTGTGGCACCGAGCGCCAGAGCGCTAGACACTCGGCCATTCAGGTCCCAAATTTGCCAACGGCACGCAGTGTTCCCAGGTGGTCACCCACCCAAGTACTGACCGTGCCCAATGATGCTTGACTTCGGTGATCTAACGAGAACCGGTATATTCAGCATGGTACGGCCGTTGGCCATAAAGATAGTACCAATCACAATATGTTTCATTTAACATGTTGATATATATCACGGTAATGATGTATTTTATTATCTCTCATGTAATTTACAAACTTAAAAATGGGAGGTGAAAGGGCCTCATAAGTGGAATAGACTAAGGGCTTCTTTTCATCTAAATCCGGCCCTGCCTATAAGAAATAGAATTCAGGTTTCTTCAATACTCAAACAATGGCGGAATCGCACAATACCTTGAATTAAACTATCTCCTCCAATAACCTACTAGTCTGAATATATATCACTGAACAATGACAGAATCTATATAAAACATTAAAATGTCATCGTTATGGTCCTTTTCTTTATTTGTTATCTTTACCCCACTTGAATAATAGATGACAGAACGACGTTTGATTTGTATGTTCTGTCTCTGCATTTCTTTGTCATGTCCCATTGGTAATTGGATCATTACTAATGCATAGAAAAGGACTTTTATTCGGGAAATAAAAGATTTATTCTAGGTATACAATTATTTGGAAAAAAATAATTTAATTTTTGAATATCTTGTTAAGATGAGAAAAAAAGAATGCTATTGAAAGAAATTTATTAAAAATAAATAATTATTACTTGAAAAACTGATTTTTTATTTTTCTTTAATGTCTTCCGATTTCTTCCTAAATGTTTAAATGGAAGTAAGGAATATTTGTATTTGGTTGATAAAAATAATACATTGTTTTATGAATGATGAAAATAGTTTAGACTGTTGCAGTGTAGACTGTTTGACATTTATTACTTTATATTTATATTCCGTTTAAATAATTCTATGTACAAAAAATAGGGATACACTTTATATATATATATACATAACGATGTATTTATTTATAAAAATAACATTTCAAACATTGATTTGTATAAATTAATTACAAAATAATATTCGTAAAAAAAAGATTATAATTTTTTATGTTTGGTAAGTTACACATTTTTTTTAAAAAAAAGTAGTAATTATTTTAATAATTTTTGAAAGAAGTTTTTGGTAAAGATTTTTTTTAATAAAAAGAGCTTTATAAATATTATTTTAAGTATATAAATAATGTAAAAATTTTTATAAAAGGTTAGTAAAATTTTTTTGAAATTAATGTATGTATGGGTGTATAAAAATTAAGATATGTGTGTATACAAGTTGCTCTATACATGCATATATAAAAAAATTAATTAAAACGGTTTTTAGTAATTTAGAAACTTGGTACTGAGAAAAGGAAATAAAGGCTACTTGACATATATTTTAATTGCAAATATCTTCAAAATGATCAAAAGATCTTATCTTTATACTTCCATTTTAATTACGTTGAAGAACTATTTGATCAAAAAAATATGCTTCTGTAATGCCTCGGCCAATACTAGACCTATAACGACTTCAAGAAGAGGGCTACTTTAAGGTTCGTAGGAACACTTCAATTTTTTTTTATAAGCATTATATACATTTACAGAACTCCATTTAAAAAAAAAAATGAAAATTAAAGATCTAAATTTGATTCACAAGTGCAGTTCACTCCAATGACGAATATTTTTAGTGTTTTCGAGTCTACGACGAATCTAAACACGTGGTCTGCTGCAGAATTTACACTGAAGTGACAAAAGTCATGGGATAGCAATATGCAAATTTTCAGATGGCAGTAGCATCGCGTAGAACAGGTACAAATGCGCAGTGCTTTCGCAGAGCTTTCATTTCTGTTCAAGTTATTCATGTGAAGAGGTTTTGACGTGATGATGACCGCACGACGGGAATTAACAGACTTTGAACGCGGAATGTTAGTTGGAGCTAGACGCATGGGTCATGCCATTTCGGAAATCGTTAGGGAATTCAACGTTCCCAGATCCACTGTGTCAAGAGTGTGCCGAGGGTATGAAATTTCAGGCATAACATCCCACCATGGACAGCGCAGTGGTCGACCGCCTGCACTTAACGACCGAGACCGGCGACGTCTGCAAAGAGTCGTAAATTCTAACAGACAAGCAACACTGCGTCAAATAACCGCAGAAATCAATGTGGGACGTACAAGGGACTTGTCTGTTAGAACTGTGCGGAGAAATTTGGCTTTCTTGGGCTATTCCAGCAGAAGACCGACTCGAGTGCCTTCACTGACAGAACGACATCGCTTGCAGCGACTCTCGTGGGCACGTGAGCATATCGGTTGGTCCCTAGATGAATGGAAAACCGTGGCATGGTCCGATAAGTCACGATTTCAGTTGGTAAGAGATGATGGTAGGGTTCGAGTGTGGCGCAGACCCCACGAAGCCATGGACCCAAACTGTCAGCAAGGCACTGTTCAAGCTGGTGGTGGCTCCGTAATGGTGTGGGCTGTTTTTTCATGGCATGGACTTGGTCCTCTGGTGCGACTGGACCGAACATTGACTGGAAATGCTTATGTTCAGCTACTTGGAGATCACTTGCAGCCATTCATGGACTTCATGTACCCAAACAACGATGGGGTTTTTATGGATGACAGTGCGCCATGTCACCGGGCCACAACTGTTCGCGATTGGTTTGAAGAACATTCTGGACAATTCCAACGAATGATCTGGCCACCTGGATCGCCCGACATGAATCCCATTGAGCATTTATGGGACATCATCGAGAGGTCTGTTCGTGCCCAAAATCCTGCACCATCAACGCTTTCACAATTATGGACGTCTATCGAGACAGCATGGCCCAATATTCCTGCAGAAGACTTCCAACGACTTGTTGAGTCCATGTCACGTCGAGTTGCAGCACTTCGCCGAGCGAAAGGAGGGCCGACACGATATTAAGAGGTATCCCATGACTTTTGTCACTTCAGTGTAATTATCACACGGCGTGATACACGAAACCACAAGGGACTCACTTTGAAACCGGCGGAAACTCCTGCCTGTTCAGTCACTTCAGAGAAAAAGACAATATTTCTTGTCACTTTGAAACAGGAGGAAACTCCTACCTGTTCAAAGAAAAAGACAATATTTCTTGTCGTAAAATAGTCTTTTTATTAAAAAAAACGCCTTTTAAGAAAATCCGTCAAGATTTGGGAGGTCAGCTTCCTTCACTTCTCATTGGATTCGATACTTCTTCAACCCATGGTCTATCACCAATTCCTATGCAATAACTCATCAAGTAATCATATTTTGTCTGTAATTGTTTCGACCTAGGAAGGTCGAACAGATTATCGTTAATTTCATGTTGTCTCATTATCCATGACATTGATTATCTGTTGTCATATTAGAGTGATAGGTTGTTCTCATTAGTTCAAAACACTAATTGCATGAAATATAAATACCCACGACACTGCTTATCTGCTGTCAAATTTGAGTGAAAGATTGTTATTATGTACAAATATTGTTAAAGAATATAAATTCTTCTCACCTTGGAATAAAATGCTACAACTCTCATGGTGGAAAAATTGCTATAGTATCTAATATTGTCTAAAATAATAATAGTTTAAAATGTCCAGAATTAGATTAAATTTTGAAGTATTATTTATAAATTTTGAAATGAATATTATAGTTAATATAACATTATCTCTATTACATGTTTATTTAAGTCCCTTAAATTAAAATTATTTTTAGTAGTGAAATCCTTTGTAAATTTCAAATGAAGTACATATTTAATTAATAATTATTATAAAGAAAACTGCAAAATAGCAGAACACAACTTAAAAATTATTTAAAGCATGTTTTCGCAATAAATGAACAGTTATTTCTACTTATAACCTTTTATCACTCTTGAAGTTCGATTTCTAAAACTTCTATTCGATTTATTTCACTGTATTTTCTTTCACGGTTTTTTCAAGTGAACAACCTACTTCTCGGAAAATACTTCCCCGTGAACTTTTCTTTTCAGCACCATCTAAAAAGGTCAGTGTTGTGAAAACATCAGAGTTTCTCCCAACTTTTTAGTAAATCCAAAACCTCTCATCTGAGAAAAATCCCACCCGAAAAGTTTTATTTCTTGGGAAACTTTCTTAGATACATGGAGCATCGTATTTCAATCATCTAACATTTGAGTATGTACCACAAACGAAGAAAGTTATGCCCGAAAGTTAAACGAAGAATTTTGGTTTTTGATAGGAAGACAATTTTTGCTCATATTTAATTTTATTCATAAATAATTCTACGGAGTATTTATAAAGAGTTTTTTACATATTTAAGCGTTTTTTCAATTCCTTCTATTAGATTACACTCTCCCTGGATATATCTTGTTCAAATTTTCAATAGTTAATAAAATAATTTTTATTCATCCACTGAAGTTCAAATACATTTTTTTCAACTTGTAATGGATGACACTTGATGTTAATACAATTTTTTTAAATCTTAATTCATTAATTAAATTTAATTAATTAATTTTAGTTTTTTTTTTAGATTTAAGTTGCATATATCTAGCAATAGATGGCGCCAGATAAACTTAAAAAAAGGATTGAAAATTATTTATAAAGGACTTTCTGGAATATAGTGAAAAAAAGTAGGAATTGATTTTTTTTTATATTACTTGTTTATTTTATTTATAAGAATTTCTTTGTTAAAACATTATTAATGCTTCTTCTTCTTCATTGGCGCAAAAGCCCTATGTAATCTTATAATTTGCCAAGACTGTCTGCCTACTGACAGATTTCGAGACAGGAGATATTTTCTTGTCAGCCCTATTCCTAACGCTGTAAAGTCGTATTATACTGGAATCTACGGTTCACAGTGAATTCCGAACCACTACAATCATCCACGGCATCATTGGGGCTCAAACCCGAAACCTGTGGCACAGAAGCCATAGTGCGCTCAGCCATGAAGCCTCTTTGAAGGCTAGTGAATGCAATTCTACAATTCTCTACAATTTTTGGTAATCGCAAGTGTATTATTTCATTATTTTACCCCTGCCGGCATAGGGCAAGGCACACCCGGAACTCGAACCCGAAACCTGCGGCACCAAGAACAGAGCGCAACTCACTCGGCTATCAGGCCCTGTTATTAACGCAGCTTGTTCAAAATGTTATTATTATTGT